TTTCATCATCGGCTCGGAGGACCGCAGCCTGCATTCCTCGAGTAAGGAGTCGTACTCCGCTGTGCTTTTGGAGCGGAATAACACGCCCAGCTTCGGGCTGGGGGAAGGCCAGGCTGGGGTTTCAGGGTGAGAGTTGCAGAAGGATATGGAATGGTCAGGAAAGAGACCAGGTAAATGCTCCTTGCTGAGCTGGCCATGGCAGGCCCAGCTCTCTGCAAGGTCCCAGGGCCAGTCGACAGGTCTTGTTCTGCCAGGCGAGAGCTCCCCTCTCCGTCTCTGGAGGGGCTGGCCGAATGGCCGCTTTCTGTCTTGGTCTGGCGTCACCTTTTGCCCAAACTGCCTGCAGACCCCCAGACATCTTCCAACCCTCATGCCTTTGCTCACGCTGTGCCAGCTCCTGAGCGCCCTTCTTACCCTCCAAGGTTGGCCCTGGGAGAGTCCGTTCACTGCCAGGATTTAAAGAGAGTTTTCTTCTTTCTTTCCAAGAGCCCTTTCTCACACTCCTCTGCCCCGTGGCCGGGAAAAGCAGAGGTGCCGGGTCCCTACCTCATGCCCCGCTCTGTGTGGGGCTCAAAGTCTCCGGGCGTGTGCATTGCACCGTATCTCTGTGTCCATTTGCAAACTGTCCCCCTCACCCCTTTGGGCTCCTCAGGGCCAGCAACCTCTGTCCCAGGGGCCTGGCACCACCTGCAGCCTGGAACTCGCTGGTGGCCAGGGTCACAGGGACCTGGGTCTCTGCACTTCAGTCTGAACCAAGTCAGAAAGAACAGCTTCTCTTTGCCCCACAGAGGGGAGGGTCAGACCCCAACCAGCAGGAGTGTCCGGCCCCTCCTCCCAGAGCCTCAATGCTTGCCTTTTGCCCTGAGAACTTCAGACCCGGCTGTGGGGACACCTGCTCCCTGATGGGCACTCAGAGATGGTTGGAGGGAGGCCCAAAGGGACCTCCTGATTTTACCCTCCAGCCTCCTCTACTTGTCGAAACCAGCACTCGCCCACCAGGCAGAGGAAAAGAATCAACTTGAGATGTGAGCCAGCATTAAAAAAAAACAAAACAAAACAGGATTTGGAGCCCTGGCCCCTTGCATTTCCTGGCCATTTGACCCTAGCCAAATCACTTAACCTCTCTCTGCCTCAGTTTACTCATCTCTAAGATGGACAGATTGCCTCTGCTCTGTGGGTTGAAGATCGAATGAGTTCGTGTACACGGATATACTTGCATATTTCAGAGCTTCTCAAATGTTAGTCATTTGTTATTTTTTTCCCATCATTTTTGCCACATCTTCAACCCTCAGTACCATCATTTACTTACCATTTTTCTGTAAAGAGAATTTAAATCGACTTTTTCTTTTTTCAGAAACAGAGCTCTATGGTCCACAACAATACCTGTGAAATCGTGGATTTGATATTCTAGTTAGTTTTTTTCCTGTTGCCCCTTGAAACAAATTTATAGCCAGTTCGTATGTTATCTGTGTTTGACCCCATAATTTTGTTCCCGGTTTTAGGAAAGGTGGCATCGCTAAATCTCATCTTACGGAGGCGTTTGCTCCAGGGCACAAGTAACATGAGCTGAAATGATTTAGCAGGCCCCGTCTCCCTAACTCTCTTTCCTCCCGCTCCTCAGTCCGGGTCTTCCCAGCTTACTTTTAATTCTTCACAGGTGGAGAACATGACCTCATGTCTGGTTTAGGATCCTAGAAGCAGTGTGGTTTGCTGGGTGGCAGGAGCTGATGGTGTTTGCTTGAAGTGACTGACTGAGAAACGGAACCCACGAGGACGACCCAGGGAACATTCAGGGGGCGGGGCAGCGGCTGGCAGTTTTGTCAATGACGTCAGCAGGAGGGGTCAGGAGAGAACAATAAAACGCAGTTGACCCGGGCTGCCACAGCCCGTCCTGGGAGCGGGAGCCCGGAACCCCATCCAGCTAGCCTGAGCACAGCTGACCGCTGCAGAATCTGATGTCTCCCAGAATGTGGCTCCACCTGCCCTGTGCCAGGGACCCCCGTCTGGTTCAGTCGTGCTGGGTGCATCGGCATGGACCACCCCAGCACAGAGCACTGCCAGAGATCTCAGCCCAAGCTCAGAGCAGGAGCTCAGGGTTCGCATGAGTCAGAGCTGGCAACCCTCCGGAGGACGGGCCCAGGCAGAGTGACCACTCTCTCCCAGTCCAGGAACTGTGAGCTGCGTGGAAAGAATGTGAATGAAGACACAATTCTAAATGTAGAATCACGAACGCTATGTGAGCCGGCTCCCTAGTCGTCCAGAAAAACAAGGCCCGCTTGTGCATTCTGCAGGAGCATAAATAAAGCTGTCCTCAGCCGGCGTGCAATGGTGTCCCATCCTTGCAGTGACTTCACCAGCCCCAGCTCCCAGCGGAACCCCTGGCATGTTGTGGGAGCTGCCCATTTGCCTAATTGTGAGGGGAAAATGCTTTGTTCTTGTAGCTTAATTTTGCAGCAAATTTACTCTGTTCTGCATCTGTATTAATTAGAAACGTCCAAGAGCTGGTCATGCGGGCAATGTGGAATGGCTCCTTCAGGCCGTTTTCTGGTGCTGGGTGTTCAAAGCTCACATCCTTGCAAAGAACATAAGGCAACTCCCCCCACTCTTCTACCCTGGGACACGGCTGTGTCAGACTGCTGGGCAGGAGGCCACAGAGATGTTCTTCTCTAGGGCTCAGCCTTCTTAGGGAGTTGCTTGCAGAAACTTCTTCAGGAGGCTGGTGCATTTCCCAGGCTTAATAGTAATAATAACAATATAACAATGCTGACGCATATAAAACGCTTACTCTGTGCCCTGCACGGTTCTGAGTCCTTCCATAAGTTAAACTATGTGCTGTACACTCTTTATCTTCGTGCCTGCACCATTTTGTTCTATCCCCACCAATCGCTCCCCGTCAGGGAGCTGGGAGAAGATAAGCTAGGGGACCCATATTGCCTGAGCACCATTACATGCCGCACACTGTCTGTGCTTTCTCGCACCGAATGCCTGTGTGATGGCTTTTCATGCCCTCTCTTTACAGGTGGGGAAACTGAGGCTTGCGGAGGCCCTCAATGTCACGCAGCTAACGGTGGCACTGAGGATGCAAATGAAGGTTTGTCCACCTGCCTGTCCAGCTTAAACATCTCTGTTTCACGCCACCCCCTCCCCCGCCTCCCACCGCCAGTGAGCCAGTCTCCCAGCCCAAGTCCAGGGGACATGAACTCCCTGGTGAGGGAGCAGAGTCTGGCCTGGGCACCTCCTTAGCTGCTCATTTGTTATCAGAACGAGGGGATTCTGTACCTCAGTGTTGGCACAGTGAAAGTGTGTCCTCAGGGCTGATGGAGGATGGGGCGCCACTGGAGCAGGCGTTTCTGGAGCTCAGGCCCCACTGGGCCACGCCCCCGCGGAGGGGCCTGAACAGTCGGACCCTCCTTCAGGTGGATTCCTTACCAGGAACTCTGGTTTGGTGTCCTTGTGAAGGCATGTCGCGTGATAATGCACATCCTGGGCCTAGCTCAGGGGGACTGGATTTGGGGGGGAGGGGGGCTGTGTGAAAACAGTCCCCCGACCCAGGTCACTGAGGCCCCTTCCCTCCACTGCTGCTCTCCCAGTCTGACCAGCCTGATGCCAAGATGGCGGATGTCACAGTAAACTGAGGGTCATCTGGGCCTGGGGACTCTCCTTAAGGCCTTTCCCTCAAGATTCTTGGCTTAGAACTTTAGAAGGCAAGATTTAAATGAAAGAAATGGTACCTGTGCTGTGAAATGGAGTAAATCCAGTTTATTAAAATGCTACTAAATGCCCACAAAATCATGGCGACCAGCTGGGAGGTGGGCCCCCAGCATGTCTGGAGTTGCATAACTCATTTCTCCACGCAGAGAGAGCTGGAAATCCAGAGTCAGAAGGAGCCGGGGAAGGTGTTCTACTCTCTAGAGCAGGGGTGGACAAATTTTTCTGTAAAAGGCTGGAGAGTCAATGTTTCCAGCTGTGCAGGGCAGATGGTCTTTGTCACAGCTGCTCAGCTCGGCCGTGGAAAACGGGCAGAGATGATCTGTTGACAAATGGGCGTGGCCGCCTTCCAACAGAGCTTGATTTATGGGCACATGTTTGTGTTTCATATAATTTTGATGTGTCACAAGATATTCTTGCTTTGATGTTCCCCCTAACTATTGAAATATGTCAAAACCATTCTTGGCTCACGAGACTGTACAAAAATGGGACAGGATGGACTGACTCATGGGCCGCACCATGCCGACCCTGAGTTGCTCTGTCCACTTCATCACCACCAACCAAATGTGGCTAATGAGCGCTCAAAACCTGGCTAGTCTGAGTCGAGATGTGCTGGGAGCGTCAAGTGCACCCTGGATTTCAAAGACTTAGTGTGAACAAAAAAAAAACCCCATAAAATAAAATATCTCCTTAGTAATGTTCTGTATTGAATATTGTATCGAATCTGTGTTGAAATGATAATTGGATATTTTGGCTTTAATAAAATATGTTACTGAGATTGTTTGCACATGTTTCTTTTTACTTTTTTAATGTGGCTACTGGAAAATTTAAATGACCCACGTGGCGCACGCTGTGTTTCTGTTAGATGGCACTGGGCCAGCTCTGCTCCTGGTCTCAGATCCAACTTCCCCATCATTAATTGCTCTGAGTTCAGATGTTAAGCAGGAACTCTGTTCCTAGGTCACTAGTATTGTTTCTATTGGCTTCTGCAGTTATCTGTAAAATATTGGACCTTAAGAAGTTAAACTTTGTGCTAATGAAATAAAAATGGGGCGAGTTCCCCTTTTCTAGGCACCTTACTGGGGGCCGGGTTAGCTGTCTTACAGACAGTGTGTATTTTGATCCTCACAACCATCCTGGGAGGGAGCTGTTCCTGTCTCTATTTCCAGATGCAGAACAAGGTCAAAGAGGTGAATTCCCTTGCCCACGATTATGTAATGGGCAGCAGAGCCGCTCTCAAAGTCAGGGCTCCCTGTCTCTCCAGGCTGCGTTTTTTTCCTGGCGCACATAATCACTAAAATGCCAGGAAGCAGAGGCTTCCTGGAAGAACTGCTGAAAGAACCGTGCAAGAGGAGGTGGGATCACGGGGACCTGGAGGAAGGGCTGGAGTGCAGAGCCCAGGGTCCCTCTTTGCTGCTCTGCGTGCCCAGGCATTGCCTGCTCTCTTCCCCAGAGCAGCTGCCACAGAGGAAGGCCATTGTTGAACTGCCCCAAGCCCACTTCTGACATAGGGATAGCAGGATTGTTTTGACCTCAGAGATGGACCAAGGTAAGAATCATGACTCTCGCACTGGCTCCAGCCACCCTGGCCTCCTTGCTCCTCTTCATGTATCAGCTCTATCCTGCCTCAGGGCCTTTGCACCTGCTGACATTCTGTCCCTGATCTTTCCATGGCTGCTTTTTTCTCCCCATTCAAACATCAGCTCAAGTGTTACTTCCTCAGAAAGACCATTCCTGACCATCCAGCTAAAAAGCCTCACCCCTGGCCCTAGGGGGCCTCTTTCATGCCACCTTGTTTATAGCCCTCATGGCATTGATCACTCATAGAGCTATCACTTCTTTGGTCATGGGTCTGTCTATATCCGCCCCAGAATGCGAGCTCCAGGAAGAGTTTACTCTGTCTGCCTCATCCTGCCCTGCACTAACATGTGCTGGGGAATGAATGGGGGGCTCTGGAGGTAGGGAGCTCCTTACTGCCCTGCTTTTCTCAGAGCAGTGGTTCTCGGATCACCTGGAGGGCTGGTGAAAACACAGATTCCCGGGCCCTCCCTCAGGGTGCGCACTTCTGACGAATGCTTGGGCACTCCTTACGCTGCTGGTCCAAGGGCCACACTTGGAGAAGAAAGAGATGCTACGGGACAAGCTGGGCCAGCTCCGCCCTTCGCCTGTCGCTACAGATTATTATGCGCATGCTGCCTTTCCAGAGCGGTGGCCATGCAACTGGATTCGACAGACAGGTACGCAGTGCTCATCAGGTCTCAGGCAACACCAGGCGCCTTCTCATTGGCCTCCCTCCGTCCTCCCTGCATCTCTGAGGGGGATTTACAGGTGAGAGCTGAGGCATAAGGAGCTAAATAGATGGCCCAGGGTCACAGAACTAGGAGAAGGTGCGTGTGGGGCTTGCGTTCAGGGATCCTGGTGCTCACCCTAAGTAGGCTTCCACCTGCCCTGTCGATAGTCAGACGGATAAAGCAAATTCGTATGTTAATGTTGTTGGAAAGCGGGTTTTTTTTTTTTTTTAGTGTTAGAGAAAAGAGATGCAAATATAAAATCAAAATGGTAAGTAAAACCCAGTACTTGTATATTCGAATATCAACATCAAGAGATTATGTAAAATCAAATACTAAGAAATCAAAGATAAAATGAATGTAAAGCATATCAAGATATACTTTCTTTTTAAAAAAGAAAAGCATTTCCAACTGAAAAGGCCAAGAAACAATGACCAACACAGTAGCCACGAATCTGCTTTGTACCTAGATTTTTGTCCCTAAATACGGTTTCTCATTAAAAAGAACAGGCATTCCCTCATCTGGAGCAGAAAATGTGTGAGAAGAGTCTAGAACTCCTTGTCGCGTCAAAAGGCAGGCAGGCAGGCTAAGAAAACCTCCTGGGCTTGGGGCCGGCCTGGTGGCGCAGCTGTTAAGTGCACACGTTCCGCTTCGGTGGCCTGGGGTTTGCTGGTTCGGATGCCGGGTGTGGACAAGGCACTGCTTGGCAAGCCATGCTGTGGTAGGCGTCCCACGTATAAAGTGGAGGAGGATGGGCACGGATGTTAGCTCAGGGCCAGGGCCAGTCTTCCTCAGCAAAAGGAGGAGGATTGGCAGCAGTTAGCTCAGGGCTAATCTTCCTCAAAAAAAAAAAAAAAAAAGAAAGAAAACCTCTTGGGCTGCTGTCAAAGGAACTAAGGAACCTACTTGAGGAGGTCCCCACCAGCAAAAGATGGAGCAGTGTTTACATCAGTAACAATGAAAACCTTGAGGGTTTGTAAAACACTGCATACATTTAAACCCGTGAATTCCTAATGATGCTGAAAGAAATAAAAACTCCAGCTACCCACCATGGTCGCCTGGGAGGGTGTAGGGAGCAGCTTCATTCTTCGGAAAAGTGAGTGAGGGTCCAGTCCCGGCCTGCTTTTCCTGTACTGAACAGTATAGGGAACCACATGACAGACGAGGGGGACTTTCTCCAACAAGGAAGGAAGGGTGGAACTAGAATATTATCATTTTTCAAAACCCGGACAAAACAATGGATCAGGATGACAATTGCCAACAGGCCTCCTGTGAAAACACACATTGCCTGTGAAGTATTCTAGCCAAAAAATCAAACCGAAATCAGAACGAGCCTCTCACCCTGGATTTTGCTGCCAGCTTACAGGAACCAGAGGCCCAGAGGAAACTGTTAAATGACACCATGAGGAAGCACTTAGAAAAATCTGGGGTGTGGAAAACTCTACAGGACAAGCGACCAATTTCTTCAACAAATAAGCCATCGAACGCAAGACAGATGGGACCTATGGATTAGAAGACACTAAAGAACACATGGATCGAATGCCATGTATGGACCCTCTTTGGATCCTGATTCCAACCAACCATCCACAGCAAACATTTATAAGACAAGTTGGGGAATTTGAACGCTGCCTGGCATTTGATGCTATTTGGGAATCATTGCTGGTGTTTTAAGTGTGATAATAGTAGGTTAAAAAAAAGAAGTTTTGTCGGTTAGTAAGACCTACACTAATATTTATGGATGACATGAGATGAAATCTGGGCCTTGTGAGTGCTGCAGGGGAGGCGGAAAAGGGTTGAGCACATGAAACAAGATTTTGGAAGTTGGGCGTTTGCTATACTATCTTCTGATCTTTTGTACTCATTTGAAAAGTTCCGTAATTAAAAAAAAAAAGCAAATTCTCTGGGTCAAAGAGGAGAGAAAGAGAGGGTCAGAGCCAGCTGAAGGGACGGTGGGAGCTTAAGGGAAGAAGAGAGACACAGGGAATCAGAGAACATGGGTGGTTGGGCAGGCTCTGCAGGAGCCAGGGCGAGATCTGAGACTGTCCCTCAGGCCACATGGCAGAGGCCGTGGCACCTGGGCCTGCCTGGCCCGTCCCGTAGACTCCAGTCTGTCTGGTAACCTCACTTAGGGTTATTTGATACAAAGCGGCTTCAAGGAGGCCAACATCTCTACAAATATTGGCAGGTACACAAAACATCAGAAAAAGGCGTCCGATTTTAGAATTTGGTAGACTAAGTCTATGCTTAAAAATTAAAAAATTAAAATAGAAGAAAGCATTTATGGTAGATTGTTAAGCCACCAAGTAAAAACGGACTTAATATATCAATATAAAAAGGCAGATATTTATGGACAGAAAGAAACCTGTAAAAATGTAGTTACGTAAAAAATGTCTTAAATAATACAGCAGCAAATACCTAAAATTTAGGCAAAAATACCTAAAACTCCCAGATATTGTTTTGTAAGCAGGATATGTGTGTGTTGATTTCTTTATTATGATTATTTTTAATGAGAACGCATTTTGCATCAGGACTATTTGCAAGCAAGGTGAAGAAAACCTGTTCCTACTTTTGACGAGAGATTAGTGTTGGACCAGCTCACAGGGAAACTTGAGTCCAGAGTTTAAGTGAGTTACTTTCCGTTCCCCACCCCACACACCCTGCCGGAGCCAGGCAGAGGTGAGTGGCTAATTTCACCGGTGATGTTAACACCCCTGGAATGGATGTATGGGGCGATGGGGCTAAAAATACCCCAGTGCAGGGCGAGCTTCTCTAGAAAGCCCAGAGCTGTCTACTTTCTCCCAAGGGCTGGGGAGCTCACTCCCCAATGGTCAGGGCTGTGACGTGGGGCCGTGTCCTGGCCAAAAGCTGCTTCTTGGACGCTTGCACGTCCCAAGGTCCCTTTAAAGGCATTGTCTTTGCTACAGAAGGTCACCTTGGGACCCAGACGGGAGTCGGGCGGTGCTCATAACCACGGATGGGCCACCCCACTCGAGTTACTTTAATCCCATCGAAGTTCTGGGCTTCCTGTTGGGAAATGGGGGATGTCAAGACCCCCTTCCCACAGCTCAGCTCACCAGAAGAGGCTCATTCACATCTTCCTGTCCAGTTTTAGAGTGCAGAGCAAGAAACAGATACCCACAGTGGGACCGGGACTGGCTGGGACGTCTTGCAAGGCTGGGACAGAGCCAGACGGCACACTCTCAGATGAGTGGCTTTGCAGGTCACCATCTCCCCTCCAGGTTTGCTGTCTGACATTCAGATCCCAACTCCCCAAGACTGGCCCTGCTTCCAGAAGCTTCCAGAGGATTCCAGAGGCTAGAATTCAGGGAGCTGTGAGGTTTTCACATGCACACGACTTCCTGGGCATCCACTAGTCACTGCTTTGTTGGCATGAACGGTGCCGTCTGGCCTGCAGAGGGCTTCTCGTCACTTTGTGGGGCACTGGTTCTCAGTGCTGCCCTTTGAGGAAAGCTCAGCAGCCTGTCGCCCTCCAGTTTCCGGCAGAGGGAGCAGGATCTTGGGGACTTATGGAAGTCACATGGCGAGTCCAGCAGATAACAGCTGTGCCAGACCCTGAGTGCAGAAGTCCCAGGCCATGGGCTCTTCCTGCTCTTTCCTGGCCTGTGTGGAGGGACCAGCACACACCTTTGCTTGTTATATTTCTGGCTTTCAGCTCCAGATGCTGAATTTGCCAGCGCAGCCCATGATCAGATGTGGCCCAAAGTCTGCATGAGGTTTTTGCTCTCCGATCATCTGGATTGACTAGCAGTGTTTAAAAAATCAGGAGGTTTTTGTGGAGAAGTGGCATTCTGACTCTTTTTAATGAAAGGTTGGGCACCACTGGGTGGCGTTCCTGCATGGGGCACGGGAGCTGGGGCCGAGTCGGGCTGCCCCTTTGAGCAGGGCATGCACCCTCCTGCTGGCCACCCGCTAACTTCACTCATTTCATTTACATAACCTGCCAGGACCGAAGACTTCGGTGTCTGAGAGCCCACTCTAAGCAGGGCATGGCTTAGGCTGTGTTGGAGAGGGATAGCTGATTGCAACAAAGCTAACCTGTCTCAATGACTCCCCTAAAGCCGGTTGGGGGGCCGGACCCCGAACACCAGCCCTGCCCCCTTCCTCGCCACCGGACACCCTTGAATACTTGGAGAAGCGGGTGCCACGTTGCGTCGAATTAAGCCTTAAAGAGGACATGAAACAGGAAGGCAGGAAATGTTCCGCCAGCTTTAATACTAAATAAGGCTTGTCTTCAGAAACACTTACCTGCTGTGAGCAGATATGTCTTCATGAAATATGAAATCCACCCAAATTTATTAAAACCGCCTGCATAGTGTTGGGAACTCACACTGCGCAGCCCTCCGTTAGAGCCTCATTATTATTATGGCATTATTTATTTATATCCTAGCCTAAGACAGACATGATGTAATCCAGTAATTAAGATTGTTATGATCGAATATTTATTAAGCACCTCCAATAAGCCAGTCACTGATTCACATAAAATGAGCCTTTACCCTCTAGAGTTCCCATCTTGCGGCCATGGGGGAGCAAGTGGCTCTCATCGGGGAGCAGGGGGGAGTTTAATGGGTTTTGTCTTCCCTGAGCAAGTCTGAGAAATGATGCTGATCAGAAATTGGACCCAGTTTAGTCTCGCTGTTCAATCTGAGTGAAATGAAAATAATCCATCGCTGGTTTAGAAAAGGGATGGGTGTGCAGAGGGGCTGTCCCTCCAAAATGCTCCAGTGGGGGCCTCCCAGAACCCAGCAGTGGGCAGAGCCCTGGCCTCCTCTGGCTCTGCCAACCCCCTGGGCAGGGGAAGAGGCCTGGGCAGCTCGCTCTGCTTTTTAAACTCAACCCCGGGCCTGGATTGGGTTGCTCTTCTGTATTTCTTGCAAAATTCGCCCTGCTCTGACATATCACCAACCAACGTTTGCTGGATCCCTACTGTGGCAGGGGCTGGAGCTGCGGTGGGGAGCTATACACAGCCTCAGGCCTCCCAGAAACCAGTTCCCAATGCAAGGCCCCACGCGGAGCTCGCTCCATCTGCCCCCTCTCCAACTCTTCCGAAGCAGCTTGAAGGCTCTGTGACTTCTCCTTGCTCTGGTCCCCCTTTCTGTCTTCTTCCTTCTTCCCCCACCCTGGGCCACCTCTCCCTGGAAGGACATGCTGGGTGGTGAGCTTACCGGGTCGGGCCCTGACACTGGCTCCCTCTGCTTTTCCTTGCCCCAGGGCCTGGCACCTGTTTGTACAGTGAAAGAGTAAACAAATGAGTAACAGCTCGCAGGGGTCAATGGATGAAACACAATCGTAAACGTGTACCTGGCATCGATACATGGATTTCTGCGACCAGGTTTCTTCACTTACAGTTTTTCCCTAGCAGATTATTTCTGTGTTTGGGAAGAGACCGGAATGTCCCCTGGGCTCTCCTGTGCTGGGTAGGAGATGTTTTGAAAACTGACACGTGCACGTCACGCTTCCCTGAGCACTAGCCCTGACGCCTACATTTGGTTCAGAAAAAAATCCACTTTATCATAGAGGAGACCCTCATCATTTCCACAAAATGTTAGGTTTTTTTTTTTTTTAACGTTGTGACTTTTATAAATTGTGGTGAAATAGATATGACATAAAATTTACCACCTTAACCGTTTAGAAGTGTACAATTCTGTGGTGTTAAGTATGTTCATGCGGTTGGGCAACCATCACCGCTGTCCATCTCCAGAATTTTCCATCTTCCCAAATTGAAACTGTACCTATTAAACATCTACTCCCCCTCCACTTCCCCCCAGCCCCTGGCAACCACCATTCTACTTTCTGTCTCTAAGAATTTGACTACGCTGGATGCCGCATATGAGTGGAATCCTACCGTATTTGTCTTTTTGTGATTGGCTTATTTTGCTCAGCACAATGTCCTCAAGGTTCATCCAGGTTGAAGCAGGTGTCAGAATTTCTTTCCCTTTTTAAGGCTGAATAATATTCCATTGTATGTACGTACCACATTTTGTTCATCCAGTCTTCCGTTGATGGACGCTTGGGTTGCTCCCACATTTTGGCTGCTGTGAATAATGCTGCTGTGAACATGGGTGTACATATATCTGTTCAAGATCCTGCTTTGAATTCTTTTGGGTATATACCCAGAAATGGAATTGCTGGATCATATGGTAGTTCTCTTTTTAATTTTTTGAGGAGTCTGCATACTGTTTTCCATAGTGGCTGCACCATTTTACATTCCCACCAACAGTGCTTAAGGGTTCCAATTTCCCTACATCCTCACTGACACTTGTTCTTTTCTTTCTTTTTATTTATTTATTATTTTAATTTAATTTTATTTTTGAGGAAGATTAGCCCTGAGCTAACTTCTGCTGCCAATCCTCCCTCTTTTTGCTGAAGAAGACTGGCCCCGAACTAACGTCTGTGCCCATTTTCTTCCACTTTATATGTGGGACGCCTGCCACAGCATGGCTTGCCAAGTGGTGTGTAGGTCCGTGCCTGGGATCCGAACCGGTGAACCCCGCGCTGCCGAAGTGGAGCATGTGAACTTAACTGCTATGCCACTGGGCCTGCCCCTTCTTTCTTTCTTTTTTCAGTAGTAGCCATCCGAATGGGTGTGAGGTGTTCTCTCATTGTGGTTTTGATGTACCTTTCCCTAATAATTAGTTATGTTGAGCATCTTCTCAAAAATGTCGGTTTTGAAAGAAGCATCCAAACATGACTTAGTGAGGTACCATTTTAAACGAGTTGACATGCCGTGTGGTTTGTAACTAAGTCTTTGGATGGGCATGCAGGTGACCAAGGGCAAGATCCTGGGAAGGTGTGCAAGGCGCAGGGGTGCCACCTGTGCCACCTCTTCCATTTAGTTCAGGGCCAGCTGCATGCTATGGTCCCTGTGGAGCATTAGACACTGGGATGCTGCGTCCCAGCCCTTACGCATCTCTGGTTTAATCGGTCTAGGGTGATGCTCAGTCATACATAGGGGAGGGTTACAAAGCTGCCACATAAATCTGATGGGCAGCCGGACTGGAACCCCTGCTGCAAGTTGTGCTGGGGCCAGAGTTGGGACCTGGCTGCCTGTGTGAAGCGGATGAGCGCCTTGCTTCGGCAGCTTTCTCCTGGTGCTGGTGATGAGGGCCACGCTGAAGTGCACTTCAGGTCTTCTTTGACTCTTGCCCTGATGCCATCAGAAACCCCGATATCTGGCTTCTAGGCCTTGTGAGGTATTCAGTACTAGGCTGGGGAACACCTCTTCCTTGCAGAAAAGATGCTGACCCTTATTATCCGTGTCCCCACTTGGAGGGGACATGGACCATTTGCTTTCACATAAAGTTTTTGCCATCTGGAACCAGCAGCGAAGCTGCAGTGTTTTCCAACCATCTCTGATGCTAAGACTGGCCTGGAGGCTCCGACGCGGGTTACCAGCCCTCTCCCTTGGAACTTCTGATTTGGTAAGTCTAGGCTGGGGCCAAAGAATCTGTTTTGTTTTGCTTTGAAACAAGCACTCCAGATGATACTTATCTGAAGTTGGGAAACTGTGTCCTGAAGGGTGTGGGATGGTGGTGAGGGGAGCAGCTTCCCTTGGCTGTAGACTCCTGCCCTGCCTCACAGAAACACCACTCCCTGAATGCCACTCACTCTTAACTAGACATTCCCTGTGTGGTCCTTGGACCAGCAGCATCAGCATCTTGGATCTTGTTAGAAATGCAGGTTCTCAAGCTCCACTGAATCAGAGACTAGGGGATGGGCCCAGAAGGCTCTGTTTTTACAAGCCCTTCAGGAGATTCTCCCGGAAACTCTTGTCTTAACAAAGCCGTTCACACATCACCTGGTTCAGCTCCACGTTTCACAGATGGGAAACCAAGGCCAGAGGGACAGATGACTTGTCCAAAGTCAGACAGTGAAAGCGGGGCAGAGCTGGAACTCAAGCCCGGGGTTCCAGACACAGATCCACGAACCCCAAGATCCCCTTCCCCAGAGAGCACAGGGGTCTGTAAAGACAGAGCCTGGAGCCGTGGGCGTTCAGTAGGTTCTTATGCTTGATTCTACTTTGACTGTGAGGGGTGAGGAGAGCTGAGAATGGAAGGAATGAAATATATGCCTTACAGATATGCCTTTCATATAAATTAGAATATATTTGACCAATAAACACATAAACGGTCCCCCATCTAAATACAACCCTCTTCCCCAAACAAAAGCCCCACCAATTACAGTCTAGGGTTTAAATTACACTAAAGAGGAAGAACTCTTTAAAACCAAGGATTACACAACCAGGCCAGTCAGACATGAATATGACATCCCCACCCAGGGCACAAGTGAGAACTCTAACCCAGAAGGCGGGACTGCCACTGACCGTAGTTTTAATTTGGAGCAAGATCAAGCCTCCAGACCCAGGCCACACCCTTCAGGCACTATTTTAAGAGTTTGCTGTTGAAATGCCTGGTCAACCCAGAGGGGAGACGAGACCTCCAAAGTGTCTCAAGGCAGAGCTGTCACTCAGGGCACATTTGCACCTCCTCTGAGGAACATTGGCTGCCCCTCCACAGCCCTCCCAACCCTTCCGGATCGAGAGGCGGTCAGAGAAGAGAAAAGAGCTTTGAGGTCCAACTCGGCCTCTTCCTAGCTATGTGGGTGTGGGCCTGCTACTGATGCCCCCTTGCCTCACTGGTCTTATCTATAAAGTGGGCATAATAAATACTCCACTTGGCAGTTTTTGTCTAGATTTGGTGAAACCATGTATATTCAGTCCTTAGTTCCATACTTAATCCGAGGTTGGCACTCAATGAGAAACAGCTCCGATTAAGAGAGTAATGTGTCCTTGGTGGTTCTTGAAAGGGGCCTCCTTGTGTAGACTGTGCCACTTTTGGTCGAGGCCACCAGTCAAGGCAAAGAGAGCAGCTCCAGGAGTCCTCTTTGCCTTTAGTAAGTGCCCTGGGCAAAAAGTCAGCCGTGTCACCCTTCGATGCTTCCCTCCCCAGAAAGACGAGAATAGCCCAGTCTTTGATCTATTTTCAGTCCCAAAGGAGAGCTCGTAGCCTCCATTTCCCGGTGTCATTTCATCCTACTTCACACCCAAGTTTCACCTTTTCCTTTTTCAGTTCTTTTGGGGGGTCCTGTTCCTAGAAATTTTCCAGGTGCATTTACAATAGAGTCATTTGGGGGCTAGTGGTGATGATGGGAACTGTGTGTGCGTGTGTGTGAGTGTGCAAGGGTATGTGTGCATGTGTGAGAACATGTGTGTGGCTGTGTGTGTGTGTGTGTGGCGCAGAGAAAGGCTTGGGGGTCAGATCTTATCTATCTTGCCAAAAAGATAAGCTGATTTCTGTTTTGGGAGCTAATTTTCTAAGGATCTTACCCTGAATTCTTTGTAGACGACACTATGTACAACAACAAAAATAAAATGTATCTCCTAAAATGTCCCATGTTTTGAGAGTGCTTCCATATTGAGAGTTTATCAGATATTCAAGTGATCCTTAACAGGGTCATAGACCAGCATCATGAACCTGGTCAGGGTTATTGGTGTGTGCACGGCAAACCCTGGTCCTGGCCTCTTTCCCCAGCAGCACAGTTGGGTGGAACTGGCGCTTAGAGTGCTCTCTCAGAGACCGAAGCAGGGTAGATATTGACCCGTCCTCCTGTGGGGAGATGTAATGCATGTAAACGCCACCATCACAGCCCTGAAAAACTCATTTTCCAATTTAAAGCCGCCAAGAGTGCCAAGCATAGACTCACGGACTCATCCACTATTTATTAAACGTGCCTGTGCACCCCTGGTGCTGAGTCCTGGGGACCCTGAGATGCCCACGTGGGCCTGGACCCCACGCAGGCTCAGCACTCTGCCCCCTGCTGGCGGGAGGCTGACATTGCAGGTCATGTTGTTCCCCGCGCCCCCAACCATGGAGGCCAAGTGCACCTGTGTGTGCCTGTGTGTGTGTGTGTGTGTGTGTGTGTGTGAGAGAGAGAGAGAGAGACGGGCTCAGCATCAAAAGGAAAACTTGCCTAAGGTGCAGGGAGTGGGAAGGTAAGCTCAGAGGCTCCCCTTGGTGGCCTGCTGGAATTTTGTGTTCTGGGGAGGGTTGCGGGGTGGAGAAAGCATTAATTCCCTGGCAGAAAGTATGTGGACCAGGGAAATGAGATCACAAACTTAAAACAGTGAGGAATTCCAACAGCTGGTGAAATAAAAATGTGTGTGGAGAAGAGAAAGGGCCAAGAACCTGTCTGCGTCCTCCCTTTGTGATGAGGGGTTATCCTCTCTCCCTCCTTAATAAAGTGTATTTTTCTCCTTATAGACAATTTGGTAATGTTTTGGGGAAAAAAAGAAGGTAGGAAAAAAAAGGCACCCCACCCAGGGATGCTGAAAAGAGGCAGACTATGTTTGCGTGGGGCGGGGGACATATGGGCTGTCTCTGTACCTTCTACTCAGTTTTGCTGTGAACCTAAAACCGCTCTAAAAGATAAAGGCTATTAATTAAAAAAACTACAAAAACCTCCACCCATACATCCCGTGTGCCATTCTTTCATTCACTCAT